TTAGGTCGACTATTAGCTTAACAATATTTCTGTTCAAATTTCAACTGGAAAAGATCTTTGAAACAAGATCTGGGTGGTATTACAGAAGTCCAAAGTTGGTACCTGCATTGATCTGATTTATACCTTTGCTAAACCAAATTTTGGATATTAACAAGACACAAGATAAATATACAAGATAGTAGTGGTCATAAGGTATTATAAATAGAAAAAAAATTTTTTTTTTATGTGTAAAAAAATTTTTTTTTGTTTTACAGTCATGTTGCTGTAAAAATGAGCAAAGTAATACAACACGGCATTTGAAATAAAGCTTATGCCCATGAAAAATTTTGTTCATTAAATTTTTTAAATTTTTTTATTAATGAAAATGTTGTTATTTGTAAATAAAATAAAAAAAAAACTAACAAATATGCCCGGAATTGTGTGAGATAATATGATTTAACTAAAATTTTTTTTTGTTGCACTACTTATGATCACCAGTGTAAATACCTTATAGTAGCTAAACATAAATCACACCTTGTCTGATCTATCCCAAATAGTACTATACTCAATATTTATATATATAATATTAAAAATATCTAGAATATTTAGCTTCAATTTCATATTACTAACTTCTTACAATGAATTAACAACTCATATATCTACTTGTATCTGAATACAGCAACTACAGAATAATCTGTGGTCAATCATCAATATACTTTAATATTTGCAACCAACTATAGATAAGCTAAACAAATATATTTTTAACTTTTATATTATTCAACTCCTTACCTATTTAGATATATTAATTATAGTTAACTCTAATTTTCAATAGCCTCACATGATTCAGCACAACTTACAACCTCTAGAAAGGATTCTACAACAATACTCCAAATACAATCTTATTAAAAAACAACTCAGATGCCTAAACTTGCTCTATTTGGAACAACTTTATTTAGCTAATAACTCAGTTCTCTTAGAATAGAAATATCTTCTACTCAGATTGCTTCACCTACCTAAAGGAAAGTAATCAAGTTGGTATATATATCTAGAGGATAAAGTAATATCTTATTATAACTATTGTATCTTGTTACCCAATATCAATAATCAGGTATTAACACCTTTGTATACAATACATATATGGGGGAAGCAATAGAAAAGGGACAAATTTTTTCTAAGTAAAATTTTTTTAACTTTAAACTTAAATATCTTAACAACTATCTAATCAAATACTTAGCTACAATAACTATGATATTATTATTAGTAAAGTCTATAAATACTTTTCTAATAACCTGATCTCTATTACTCATTAGAAAATGATATCAATACTAGTTGTTATTAACTTTATCCTCTTCAACCGGTCTAATGCCAACCATATACAGAATAGCATCTAAATTCTAATAGAATCAGCAACTACCGCACTATTAATATTTTATCTATTATCTCTATACAATTTTTTGAAAGAATCTTTTCCAATAATCTTAACTTCCACACTAACTATATAGATCTCATTTATTCTACTGTAGTTAAACATCCTATACTACTCTCAATTTCTATTAACTACTCTATCATATCTCAAATCTTTAAAGCAGAAGAATCTACATTTAAGCTTAAACAATTCTTAGTTACTAACTTTATACAAGCCTAATTTAATTTCTATACTGATAGATCTGTAATTGATATTGGTACTAACCAATATACAATGGGTATAGATTGGGTCTAGTTAGATTTTAACAATAATATTATATATATATTTTTAGCAATAATCTATTTGTGGCTATCTTCTTATAAAGCAAAGCTTTTTTCTATTTTATCTACAATTTCTTCTACTTTACGCAACTTGATTATTAATATCTTTACTGATTTTCAATCTGTTATCTCCAAATACACAAATCTTATTAACTCTCATAACCTCAACAAACCTTTTAAATTTAGTTCTTGGCCTTTATAGTATACATTACTCAATATTTCTAAATCATATAATTTACAAATCATCTTTCACAAAGTTCAAGCCCACACTAATAACTATTATAATAACTTAGCTGATTCACTAGTGAAACAACATATACTGTTACATCTGCTAGATTTTATTTATACCAATATCTATAATCTCTATCACATTATACAGTAGGAACAATATCTAGTTGAATCTTCTACAAAATACTTATTAAAAATATTTGCAAATCACATATACTGGTACTATAGTCATTACAAAATCACAATACCAAATGATTACTCTTTATTCAACAAATTGACTAGAATTCTACCTAGTTATACTTTAATCACAACCAAAAGCCTACCTATAATTATACTAACTTTAAACTTAATCAACTCAAATCTTTTAAAATTAAAACTTTACTTTGTTATATACTTGTAATATACCTACAGGTATATAACAATTTTAATAATACTACTATTACATGCTTATATTATATTAATACAGTATTATATATATAAAATTATATATTTGTTTTGGTAAAGTTATTGCGGTGCTGCTTAAAGCGCATCTTAAAGCGCTGCTTTAAGTGATACTACACAGATCTTCTCAAGCCATTAAGCAAGATTAAACAGAAGATATTTGTGATATGTTGTGAGCCTCAATGCTTATAAATTATGAGCTATTGCTCATAATTAAACACAATCTCATTAACAACATATCGTCAATATCTTAATATTATTAAATTTATTTAATTATGGTATATAATTCTTTTTACAATTTGAAGATTCTCAGTGATCTTTTTTTTATTGATTTTAAGTATAACAAATAATAAAAATTATTTTTATTAAATATTTAAAACAATTATATACAAAATATAAATAATATAAATAACAAAAACTATATATTATATGAATTTGTAATTTCTATAATTCTTATATAAAAAATAAAAAAATTTTTACTTCGAACCATTCTTCTCCCTCTGACTAATTTTCTTCATTAGCTTCAAGATCAATAGCCTGAATTTTGTCAAATCGAGTAGGTTTAATTCGATAAATAGTTAAAATATCTTTTGAATTCCGAAGAGCTAGAGAAACTACTTGATAAACAAAAAGAGATTCTTTAAGTATAGCAGCAATTTCTCCTCTATGTTCTTCTTTAAAAAGACAGAGATAATAAAATTTTGGAGTTTCAGATGTTGTGAATTCATATATCATCTTATTAAGCTTTTGTTAATTAAAAATTTTATAGATGATATTCTTAATCAAGAATAAAAATTTAGAAGGCATGAATCTAAAGATTAAAAGATAATAAGTATATACTATCATAGATATCAATTCTGAATCTAATACTAAGTTTTTTTCATGACAAAGTCTAATACTTCACAGTTTTTACAAATTAGAGATATTTTAAACTACAGATAGCTCAAATCAAACATTCGCAATTGAATAAGACTGCTATCCAGCGTGAATTTTTTCAAAATATAATTCAAACAAATACTTAGTAAAAATATTTACCTTAATAAATATATTGTTCAGACCATGTTTTAATTAAATATATCCACATACAAATATTAAAAATAATAAAATAAAATATCTTATTATAAACAGATAAAATATTTCACGTGTATATATTATTTTAAAAAATAATGAAGAATATCAAAATCTTTGATGTATATTGATAGTAAAAGGCCAAGTAAAATAAGAATAATTATAATAAAGTAGATAAAGAAATACATGTTTTTAGTGAATTTATAAAAAAAATACAGAATATTTATGAGTAAATAAGAAGTTTTTAAAAATTTTGAATGTCTAGATATTAGAAAATATAAGTTTTTTATTTATGTAAAATAATTCATATAAATAATTTTGATTGGTTTATTTTTGTTTACTAAATAAACAACTATGAAATTACTTTTTTTATATAAATTAAATTATAATTCTAAATAAGAAATCAACTTTAATTTTTTTATATTATTATTTTATACCATATTAAGAATATAATAATATATATAAATAAAAAATTTTATTTATATGTTTACTATAACTCTAATATACAATAAAATTTTTTTAAATATATGAATGATATTATAAATAATTTATATTATATATAAAGTAAAAAAATTATTTTATATTAATTTTTAAAATAAGATCAGTGATTTCTTTTATTTTTTTTATTTTTTTTTGAAAAGTTTTTATAATGTTACATTTTACAAATTATATAATTAATAATAAATTAAACCTATAATAAATGATTAGTTAAAATAAAGAATAGAGCCTCAGGTAAACCTGACTACATTCGGCCACAGTGGTCTCATCAGTCAGACTAAAAAAAGCTGGGGTGGATTCTCTAAAAAATGCCTAAATTATCTTGTTATTTGAATTAGACTTTTTGTTTATAGCCTTTTTTGATTAGTTATTTTGTTAAAGCAGTATAGTAATTGTGCTATTAAATTTATTAATTTGGGTTTGTACTGAAAATTTTTTGGAAGAAATTCATATTTTGACAAGATTTTTGCAATACTAATTGTGACAAGAGCTGAGTTTTTTAAATTTACTATTCTTGTTTGCATTTTTTTGTATTTTATTATCATGTAATTTTTTTCATTCATTTTATATTTCTCACAAACTTTTATAATATCATATAGTAATAATAATATTGTTTTATAAAATTTTGGATTCTGAATCGAAATGTTTGCTTCTGTAAGATTCAAATGAAATTTGTTTAATAAGATTTTGTTATACTCATCTTCTAAAAATTTTAGCACTTTTTGATTGCTAATTTTTTAATAAGCTTGGATTTCTTGATTTCCTTTTCTTTAGATTGTAAATATATTTGTCAGTAGTAAGCTTCTAGCTCTGCGATTAGTCGAATTAATTCTGGTTGATTCTTAAATAAGTGTGGTTTAAATTTTTCATTTCCATTTTGTCTTAATAGATTAATTACAAATTCATCTTTGTTTTTTGAATTTTTTAGTTCTTCGATAAGTTGCATATATTTAGTCACAACTTTATTTGATGCTGAAAGTTTAGTTGACTACAGTAATAAATTATCTTTTTAAGTGTATCTAAAAACTTCTGATTAAGATTTGGATCTGTTAAAGATATATATCCAACATCGAATTTGTTAAGTAAGAAATTGTAATCTTCTTTATTATTTTTTTCTTTCCAAATTTTGATGATTTGTTCAGTTTCTTTAAAGTCTCGATATAGAATATTTCTATATAATATAGCAAAAGAAAATAATGATTAAAAAATATATGCATGTATTTTTATATTTTTTATAAATATTAATTTCACCAATTAAATTTAAATTGCTATTTTTAAATTTGAATAAATATTTAGCCAATGATATATAGATGATTAAAAAGTAAAATAAATATGTAAATATTTCTTTTATTGCATGCAAAGTAAAGATGAGACAATGCGATTTCAATATTTATAGATGCAACAGATGTGTCAAAAATGATATCAAATATGTATGATTAAAGACTAATATATCATATAAAGAATTGCAACAGAAATATATTGAAGTTTTAACCGAAATTAAAAAATTAAAAGATAAAAATAAACTCTTACTTTTCGAACTTAAAACTATGTAGAGATATAAGAAAAATAAACATTCAAAACAATAAACTTTAGAATTAATTTTTAACTTGTTTTGGATTTTTTATTAAATTGTATAATAATACTTTAACAAATTTTAATAAATATAAAATAAAATAAAAAAAAGAAATATACAAATAAGTTATAATAAATTATACTATACGGAATCTTTTAGAAGATTCTTAAAAAAATATATTAAATTAATAAATAAAATTAAACTAATTTAAGCATATGATTTATGTTTTTAAAAAAAATTATTTCTGTTTTTTACAAATAAATTCTTGCTAAATTTCTTCTTTACCAATATCTAATTATATATCTTCAACATATTCAAAATTGTCAATTTTATCGAGTTTTTGTTGTTTGTTGTTAATGATTTTAAGATTATTTTGTTGAATTTCTTGTTGTTTAAGATCTGTTTTAATATTTAATTCTTCAAAAATTTCTGTATTTGGAATTGAATTTTGTTTTCTTTTTCCATTTTTTGTTGTTTTTTTTTTAATTTTTTTGTTACTCAGAATCATTTGAATTATATTCAAATACTGAAGAATCATATTCTAAATTAGTTTCTGTATTCTCATTTTCAATCTTCTGCATTGTTTTAATAGAGCTTCTAGAAGATTCTTCTTGGTTGTTATTATTTATTTGATCACATGATTCAGTTTGTTGTAAATATTTAAACATTTTTTGCTTTTTGAGATAAGATCGCAAAAATTGTTTCATATATTTCAGAAAATGTCATCTTCAATAAATATCATCACTATCAATAATATATTCTCTATCAATTCATTTATTAAGTTTTTTACTTTTTTCAATAGTAGCTTCTAGACCTTCTTTATCAACGTGAAGTTCAATATCAAATGTCATATTTCAAAATTTATTTTCATCACCTTTATGAAATATTATTTTTGTTGTTCTTTTTTCTAAATCTTTATTCTACTTTTCTTTAAATTCTATAATATAATCTAAACATCATTCAAACTGTCTATAATCTCATTGATTATTTTCTTCTTCATATTGGCCAAAATTAAAACTATCTTTAGATTGTTTTCTTGCTGTTAAAAAAATATATTTTGCTAAAAAAGAAATAAAACCTTTATATTTTTTTTCAATATTAAATGCTGTATTATTTTTTATTTATTTTTTTTTTTAAAGTGAGGTTTTGCCTTTATCTTTATTTAATAATTTGTATTGAGAATCCACTAGGGGTTTCTCTGGTCAATAAGACCAA